TACTATTCTAATAAATGGTGTTAGGTAAAATATTCTTTGTATTCACAACAAAATTGCTAATAAAATAATAAACTTTTGATATTAATTAACATATTTGTTTTATTTGTTACTCACTAATTTTATTTAAGTCAAAAATTGTTTTTAGTTGCAAAGCTACAATTAGAAATTTAAGAAATAATCTGAAAAAAATTTAATATATTTTAAATCATTTATACAAATGTTGAGAAAAGAAAGAAATTTGATTGTATCAAACATATTTAAAAATGTAATATTAAGTTTATTTATTTAGTATAAAAAAAATTGAAAGAAAAAAAACAATTTTTTATTAGTAATAATAAAAAGCGAGTTTTAAATTTTTAAATAAAATATTAATTACCGCAAAGCGAGTTAAATTTTTAAATAAAATTTAACTCGCTTTGCGGTAATTAATATTATTTCAGTAACTTAAAAAAATTATTGTCTCAATTAAAAAAAAATAATAATAATAAAGAGATTTTTACAACATTAAATTCACTTTAGAATTGTTAGATCATAACAATGCCGGATGCTCAAATTAGGATTTAGTTACTAGTTCCAATGGGTGGTTTGATACCATGATCCTTGATAAATATAGAAGAAGTGCTCAAAATAAGATCTAAGATGCTATTTTTTAATGCTTATTTTTGCTAGTAGGTTGATCATTATACTGCCTAAAACCATAGTTGTTTATAAAACATAAAAAAGAGTTACAGATAACACTGTCTGGACCATGATAATAGTGCTAGTCAATATCGGGTAAGTTAAAATCCCGTATTTTATTTGTCATAAAATGACAAATACTAAATAAATTAGTATAGTTTTTTGTTGTTTACTTTCATAGAAAATCTGAAATAGCATTTAATTAATTTTGGTTTTTAAAAGGAAACTATGGTAAAAATAAGTCTTAATATCAAACACATCTTCCGGGCCTTCTTAGCGGCAAAAATAACTTCTTCATAAGAAATGTTATTGGCTATATCTGATTCAATTGAAAGGATTATCAAGAAGCAATATTGCTCCTGGTCCAAAAAACGAAGATAAGCTTTGATTAAAGTTAACTTGCTGAAAGATCTTTTATCTTCAGATATTGAAAGGGCAATGTTTGAAAGAGTCTAAGTGAAACAAGCTTGTGGAAATATTGAATTCAACCCCTTTGCATTAACTTCATTTAGAAGTTCGACAGGCTTTTTACTGGCTGAATATTTCTTTATACGGAAAAAAAAAGCTAAACTTCAACAGAAAATTTGTTTTTAAATAAGTCTTCTGGGTAATGTTTTGTCAGATTCTCAGCTTTTAAACCTAGTTCTTTGTCTGTTTGAGATTTCTGTGAAGACCAAAGGAAGGAAAACTTGTTACATTCCTCTTTCATTACTTTAAATCTTGATTTCATTTGACTAGTCATATTATTGAGTGCAACATGGAAGACATTACACTCAAGTGTTTTGATGCTTCTTTGTGGTTGTAACTAGTAGGGGGGTCCAAAATTCTATATTTTTTGTTTAACCAGTTATTTTCAATTAATTTTTTGAGAAAAGTTCAAAAAACAATTCAGTTTTTGCTAATTTTTTATGGTTGACCTTCTACTTCTATTTTAAAAATTTAAAGATATAAAAAATAAAAGTCTTTGCAAAAGTTTTTTTGCGTATAAAGTTACCTAACTTTTCTTTCAAATTTATGCTATTCAAATTTTGATTGGATCAATTTGATTTTTAATCATTGCGTTTTAGAAAAAAAAAGTTTTATCTGAAGTCTTTTTCTAAAAAAAAGTTTTAAATAAGTTTAAACGACAGATTGTTTAAAAAAAAAAGTTTTATCTGAAGTCTCTTTTTAAACAAAACGTTTTAAAAAATCAGAAAGACAGATTGCTTCAAAATATCTTAATTTCCTCTTTTTTTTTTTTTAATCGTTATTCAAGCTATCAAGAAGGCTATTCAAGATTTCAATTTTTTTTCACTTTTCTTTAATGAAGTCAAGAATAAATCTTCTTTTAAAGTTCCAGTCAGTAGAAGTTCAGTTAAATTCTAAAGGTTTAACAACTCTTGAGATAAACAGGCTAAAGGAATACCGCTACCTAAAAGGCTTTATAAAAAACAAACTGGGTGATCAAATTTTGAAATTTTCTGCTTTATTCTAAAACGCAGTGAATAGCTAGTTAAAAAAAAACTCTAGAAGCAGTTAATAAGTATACCTCAAAGAGGTTGAATGATTGTATTATTCTTGCTAGAGTAATTTAGCAAAAGTTAGCGTTAGGATTTCAAAAAAGAGAAAAGTATTATGTGTTTGGTTGATGATGGAATTTGATTAGTATTAACTTACTAATTAAGTTGTTGCAGTTGGAAAGTTTTGGAAAAAACCCATTTAATTTCAACAGTAGATGTATACTTAATTATTTAAACCATATAAAAATTAAAGGTTCGCATAGTTAAAAAAAATTTTGGAAAATTATTGTCCAATTATTTGTCCAAAAAGTTAAAACTATGGAATATAGATGAAACCAGCTACAAAAACAAATGGATAATGATGGAAGAGCAGCAAACTTTACATTAGGTGTGCAAGATGAGTTCTATTTTAGTTTGATTAAAGTTACAAGGCAGCCCATTTAGCTATGAACTAGACATTATCACAGTAGATAAAGACATGTTAAAATGAAAAAAAAGTTTGAAAAATGAGGTTCTTTATTTTAGGGATACAATTTAGGCCATTGTCGCGGAGGCCTATTCTGTTTAAATACATGATTTTGATATAAAAATACAAATCTCCATCTTATGACTACCAAAGAACACGCTCATAACCTAGATGTTCTACATGGAAAGTTCTCACAGCTCTATCGCATATGATGACTTTTATAGTTATTTTCCATTTTCAATAGTAAATAACAAAAAAATTGGTTAAACTATAAAAATCTAATAAAAGATTATTATGGACCCCCTATAACTAGCAGTTTCATCAGGGTAGACCTTTTTTTGCATTCTCTACACAGAAAACATAATTTCATTAAAACTTATCCATTAAATTAGATAATACACTTCATTACTACTTTCGCCCAGAAGGTCTAATTCTTTTGGACAATGTAATGATTTCAAGATATTTTTTGGCTTTTTTGCTAGTGGCTTGACTGCTTCAATCTTTGAGTTCCATTATGTAAAAAAAAGTTTATGTAATGATTGGTTTATCTCCTCCTGAGAATTTTCCAACAAACTGGGCTGTAGCTGAACAGATTGTATAGCTTTTAAATATTTTTAAAATAGGATTTTGAAGGAGCCGATAATTCAATAACGTGTACTGCACATAAGTTCAAACTGTGAGCAGAGCATTTGAATATTTTGAATATTTCCAAAATAGGATTTTGAAGAAGCCGATAATTCAATAACGTGTACTGCACATGAGTTCAAACTGTGAGCAGAGCAAGGAATAAAAATTGCTGTACATTATTCTGCCCAACCAAAGCTTGAACTCTTATGTAAAAACCTGCCATATTAGCGCCATTATCGTAGCTGTGTACTGCACATAAGTTCAAACTGTGAGCAGAGCAAGCAATGAAAATTGCTGTAGATTATTCTGCCCAACCAAAGCTTGAACTCTTATGAAAAAACCTGCCATTATCATAGCCTTGCCTAGTAATAAGCTCCAATAAGTTCCCATTTACATTTTTGAACAATTCTTGATTGGTTATCCATATTTACATTCAATTATTACTTTTAGTTTTGATTTTTAAATTATAAATAAAATAATGAAAAATATAAATTAAAATTTAAAAACAATTTTCTTACTCCTAAAAGCTAAATTTCATGGAGTCAAAAAAGTTGTGACATTAAAAATGCATTATTTAAATTAATTTCCATCTAGAAGCTTTGTTTCATCTCCAATTTTGTTTTATGTCCAAAAGAACTTTTACATGCCGTTAAATAAGAAGATAATCTTTACTTTATTATGTAAACAAAAGGCCAATAAAAAATGTGTGCGTTCGAATGAAAAATGAAAACCTTGTAAAGTAAATGTAAACAAAGTTTGAAAAGAGAAGGAAATATACAAAATTTGCTTAAGCTTATCAGCTAAATTTTTTATCATAAAATTTTTTTTTTAAGGCATATGTGATGCCCGGGGCAAACTACTTCAATTGCCTCTCCCTCTTGGCAGCCCTAATGACCATAGCTCTATCAGTAGAAAACATTATAGAAAAACATTCAACACTTGTTTTCATATAGTCCATTGCTTTTTTTCCACAACCACAACTACGACAATAACATATATGACATATTTTTGAATGATTATATAACAAAAAATAGTTCAATTTTGTTTAGAGAAATGAAAAACTCTAAAGAAAAGAAAAAACAACGAACAATGAATAAAATGATTGCTGCCCCATCCCAAACCCTCAGTCAATGTAGCAGCACTCCACTGCGAGTCAGGCTATTTGTCAGTCGATGTATGAACTGAAGCCCCCAGCAGCAGGCTATATCAGTATGACGTCAAATTGCTTACCTTAGTACACAATACTATTTGTGTGTATATATATATATATATATATATATATATATATATATATATATATATATATATATATATATATATATATATTTAATTCAGCAATAATTTATTTTTTGAGTACAAAAAATAGATAATAAAATTAGTAAAAAAAGAGAAAATATTAAAAGAAAATTTGTTAACGATCATAAATAATTAGGATAAAGTATGTGTTCGTGTGAAAAAACAGTGTGTGTGTGTGTGTGTGTGTGTGTGTGTGTGTGTGTGTGTGTGTGTATGTGTGTGTGTGTGTGTGGTGTGTGTGTGTGTGTGTGTATGTGTGTGTGTGTGTGTGGTGTGTGTGTGTGTGTGTGTGTGTGTGTGTGTGTGTGTGTGTGTGTGTGTGTGTGTGTGTGTGTGTGTGTGTGTTTATAAAAACAGTAATATAAATACCATAAACTATTATCTAAAGCCTTAAGTATAACTCAAGCTCAATTTTTAAATTACAATTTAAAAACCTTCTATTCCACACTTGAGGTAATCCTTTTTGTAAATCTTTTATATAAATATTACATTCAACAACAACATAAAAGTACCAATTAACTTATTAAATGTTTACTGTATCTTTTTTGGTTGTTGACTTAATTTTGTAATCGCTTTTTTAGCGTTGTTTTGGTAATAAAATTTTAGTACCCGGTATCAAAACAAATACTCGGATGCTACCAATTCCGGTAACTAAACAAAAAACGAAAAAACCAACCAACATAACCTAAATGAGCCATGAGCCATTGATAAAAAAATATAGCTCAAGTATTCTGTAAAAATAAAATAAGTAAAAAAAGTACAAAGTGTATTATTAAATATTTAACTCAATCATCAAATAAAAATAATGTAAAACTTTTGAATGACTTTATTTTAAGTTCGAAATTTTTAATTTAGCATTTCATTAATGTAGTGTAATGAGCGCAAATAAGACGAAAATATATTTGACATATTAAATGTCAGCAGAAAATAGTTCAGACATAAAATTTTGTCAAAAAACGTTGGTAATATTTGGTTTCGAAGTTATTATTTTTACATCGCTATATTTTGGTATAAAATGATGTAGTTATTTATTACATTTGATGTAGTTATTTATTACATTATTTATTACATGTCGTTACACTTGTTAAAAGTAAAAAATAATCAATAATTTTAATTTTAAATTCTTTTTTTTTGGTTTTTGAAAAATAAATTTACTAACTCATACATAAACATAATAAATTTTAACATGTGGCTAGTTAGATTTAAAAAATCTATCTTTCGTTTTCAAAGTTGTTTTTGGTTTTACTGAAAACTAAGAAATATATTAACAAACTAAAGTTACAGAAGGTAAAAATCAAAAAATTTTAACACAAAAAGCTAAAAAATATAAATACATTTGAAGCAAATAACTATATATACTGATTAGAGTAATCATGATAGCTACGGGGTAAGTTGCATAAAACCCATAAGGGTAAGTTGAATAACAATATATCAGGGGGTTTGACGGATTTTAAGTCTTTTTTCAACACTAATGTAACAAAAGTTGTTTAGAATGTAAAAAAAAGTGCAGCCGTAGCTCAGTAGTTAGCGGGTTGCCTCAAAAGCGAGAGATCAGTTGTTCAATGCCACTTTCTAGACAAGTTTTATAACATCAGCTTAAACTTCCTTTCAAATGCTCTTCCGTGGTGTTCTGTGCTAAGACGTAAGGACTTCTTGGGGGCACAAAAATAAATATATAAAAAGGTGTAATGCAGTCATAAATTCAGCAAACATGTCAGGCATACATGAAATTTCACATAATAAAATTATTGTTATCTCGGTTTGCACCAAATTGTACAAGAGCCTACTCATGAAAAAATAATATTCTTGATCTTTTATTTTCAAAAGATATCTAATTTTTTAGTCTTATTTCAGTTGAATGTCCTTTCAGCACCAGTGACCATAACACTGTCCACTTCTCTATTAATGTAAATGATCTCGATCAGTTAAATAAAAATATTGAATCCTTCGACAACTTCTTAAATGCCGATATTGATGGTTTTCAGTCTTATTTATTAAATATTAATTAGGACTTCGAGTTTTCCTTTTTTTTACAGTTGACGATTGCTGGAACGTTTTTTCCAATCATTTTTGCAAGGCTATTTATCAATTTGTTCCAATTAGAAAGAGTAATCTTAATAAAAAAATAATACTCTACCCGAGTTTTATCGGGAATATGTTAAATTGTAAAGCTTTCTTATGGAAAAGATGGTCAAATACTAAAAACATTACACACAAAAGTATGTAACAAATACGCTAGTAAATGTAAAAAATTATTACTTACTTACTAAATGAGAGTCAAACTTAAACTTTTAAAAGAAAATAATATCAGCTAATTTTTTCAATATGTGAATAGAAAGTTAAATAACTCTAAAAGTATTTTTCCTCTAAAAGACAAAAACAATAATAACAAGATAACTTGTTGTAACGAAGAAATCGCTGACGTGTTTAACAAACATTGGCAGTGTTTTTACAAATAAAAATAAAGACTCTCCATTTATTAATATATATATATATATATATATATATATATATATATATATATATATATATATATATATATATATATATATATATATATAGTATTGCGTACTAAGGTAAGCAATCTAACGTCATACTGATGTAGCCTGCTGCTGGGGGCTTCAGTACATACGTCGACTGACAAATAGCCTGACTCGCAGTGGAGTGCTGCTACATTGACTGAGGGTTTGGGATGGGGCAGCAATCGTTTTATTCATCATTCTTTGTTTTTTACAGAACCTGTACTAATCGAGCTACATATTTATTCAATATTGTCAACATGTAAATAACTGTTAGTCAAATTAAAAGAACTGATGCTTTCATAACTATAAATGAATACATCTTATTAATTAGTCTGTTTTATCTGGAAAAGGAATAACTTCGAATATTTGTTGTTGTGGGTTCACTTCGCCATAATTCACATTTCATTACGTATGTGGCTGCTTAACTTCAGTAGCAATTAATAATTCATCAAACTTGTTGTTTAGCAATGTTGCATTAGTATACCAGCAAAAGAGGTGACGGTATTTTCTTGTCACTTTACTTAACGGTATTTTCTTTTCACTTTACTTGACGCAGATTTTGCTTACTCTAATTCCTCGAATACAATATCACAAAGATTTGTCAATAGTTCTTTCTAAAGCAAGTTTTTCAGTTGCATTTATTCGAACTTTGTTTGATCCAGATTATTGCATACATTTTAAAAATTATTCATTGCTATGAGCTTTCTACTTATAATTGTATATATATATATATATATATATATATTTATATATATATATATATATATATATATATATATATATATATATATATATATATATATATATATATATATATATATATATATATATATATATATATACAATTATAAGTATTTTTATATTAATATTGCACGACCTGCATAATATTGCACGACCTGCGGACAGGTCGTGCAATATTAATAGAAAAAAGGATTTTTGTCTACTTAAAATAAAAAAAACTAGCGGTTCTAACCCGTGGAATACGGGTCTCGATAAATTTATTCAACGCCGACAATTTCTATATTATTAACTTCAATATTTTTTACATATCTTTAATATATATTTTAAATATCTTTAATATATATGAAAGTTGCGTAACATTTCTTCTGGTGTTTTTGAAAACGTAACGCTATAATAAAATACAACTTTTTCATAAGGATTATTTTATTTAGTTAGTAAAAGAGAACACAGAAACAGGGTACAAAACCTAGTTGTGACAAATATGATAGCTCTCTCTCTACCGGCCACGATAGCTATGGCAATAATAATAAAATAATAAATTAAAGTAAACCGGAGAAAAATATTAGACTTTAAATTTTTGGTTTTTTATTAACAATTTTCAATACTAATTTCAGTATTTTTTACATAATAAAAAAATCTTTAACAAAGATGACAGTTGCGTAGCATTTTTCCCATTGGTTTTGAAAACTTAAGGTTATATCAAAAAAGTTTTAAAAATAATTTTTGTAAACCCTTTTTGTTTAAAAAGCAAAAGGAGACACACACAAAAAAAAGATTAACAAAACTTCATTTTAGCTTTCAGGAAACGATTAACATACAGATTTCTCAAACTATTCTAAAATAAAAAACTTTCAAAAACCAGTGATAAGAGGAGGAATTCGACCTAAAAATGGGACAAAATTATTATTCGAAACACTTATTACACCTTAGTTATAAATTAATGAGCTATGTTATATATAAATAAGATAAAATATGTTTTTATTTAAAAAATGAGTTCTTGGCTTTTAGTGAATGATTAATTGTATGTAGCCCGTTTCAGTAATGCAACGATTCAATATTCATTTTAAACAATAGAAACCGACTTGAAGAAAAGCAAGGTCGTCTATCAACACAAAACATCACAACAATAACATCCCAAAATTAACAAATAACATAACATATTACAGTAAACTCTCAAACCTCCAAGGGACCAAGAAATCAGCTGGTTAGAGTTCCAAGGTTTAACTGTAATTTCAAAATTAGTTAAAGTTATCAAGGGTTATTAAGTTATCCAGAGTTTATTGTACATATTTTAACTACTAACAGCAAACACATAAAAACACCTATATAAACATTTACAAAATATAAATCCATATAACCTAATATAACACATAATTAAAACACACATTATTACATCATATGACAGATCATATCAATTATCAATTACTAAGATAATAAACTTAGTAATTGTAAATCTTAGTAATTGATAATTGTAAATCTTAGTAATTGATAATTGTACTTTAAATGTTATATTTGTAATAAAAACTATTACAAATATAACATTTAAAGTACAACATTATTTGTAATATTTGTTCAATGACATACCTTGAAATGGATGCTTATGAAATTTAAAAAAACAAGTAATCAAATAAATTGGTTCTGAAACGTGTAACATAGAATTTGGTTGTGTGAAAAGGTTTTTTATAATTAAACATCAAGTTTTTCAAATTTTTTTTAGCATTTTGTATACTAACTTTTATAAAAAAAAACACAAAAACAATTATTTTAAGTTAAACAAATTAAAAAAATAAACAAAAAATCAGCTGATCTACCAGTGTAATCATCTGATCTACCAGTGTAAAGGTTTTTTGTAATTAAACATCAAGTTTTTCAAATTTTATAGCATTTTGTATACTAAATTTCATAAAAAAAACACAAAAACAGTTATTTTAAGTTAAACAAATTAAAAAAATATCAAAAATTACAAAAAATCATCTGATCTACCAGTGTAACGTAGGTCAAAGAAACTACTGTCTAAAAAAGACTTTACAAACTGCAAGCTAATAAATATTTTTTCTATAACTTACAAATTACTTGCTTATTTTAGCAGATTGCGCTCCTGTTACTGTTGGGGCAGCACTTGATGATGTTGTTGCAACAACTGCAATGGGTACACAGTAAAAAAATACCCGTTATATTTTTAAAAAACATAACGTTAGATTTCGTGTTTTATAAAGGATAATTACCATTGTGTTCAATGTATTAATTGTACGAAAAAAAAACCTAACGGCAAATACCGTTATGTTTTTTTAATACAAGTTATACATTAAACATAACGGGTAA